GGGAGTGAGAAATAGAAACATCGAGGAGAGAGAACATCGATTGGCTGCCTCCTGCATGCCCCCCACTGGGGATTGGGTCCACACCTGGGCTTGTACCCTGACCAGGAATCGAACGGGCGACCTCTTGGTGCATGGGTCGATGCTCAACCACTGAGCCACACTGGCCTGGTGATTCTTTTTTTTCATTGGATATTCTTGTATTTGCTCTGACCTGAGGTTGAACCGGCAACCTTGGCGTATTGGAACAAAGCTCTAACCAACTGAGCCACCCAGCCTGGACCTCAATTTTTTTTTTTTTAACTTTTAGGAATATGTGGTCAAAACCTGGATAGCCTTCATCTGCATAAGCACTCAAGGAAACCTATGGCTTCTACATGTCAATTACTCTATTCCTTGGTTTATTATTGCTGTTGCTATTATCACAAAAACAATATACATTAATTGTCGAAAATAAATTACAGAGTACTAAACGAGAAAGGAAAAATCACTTATAACTGCATCTCTAATATATTTGGTGCTTACTGACTGTCCCTTATCTAACGATATACACAATTGTAGATAAGTATAAATAATCATGGTTTTTTAAAATTGTTATCAAACTGTTTTATAACTCATTTTAAAATTAATAGTAAACTATGGATATGTTATTTTGGAACAAAATTTTAATTGTCTCTACACTAGAAATTTGAATAAAGTTATGTACTAAAATTTAACCATTTCCCATGATTGAATATTTAGGTTCTTTTAAATGTTCTGTTATTTTAAATAATGACTAGGAACTTCTGAGTAGCTTTTCTACCGCCACAATTCTGTAATTATTTTAAAGGACACATTTCTATAAGTGGAATCCCTGGAAGAAAATACATGCCAAATTAAGGTATTTATATGTTTTATAAAGTTGGTCTTTGAAAATATGTACAGATTTATGTGCCCATTAATAGTTATAATGAATCCCATGACTTTCCTACCAACACTAGGCATTAACATTAACACTGCAGTAAGTTTCTCATTTGATTAGTAAAAGCTATCTATTACCTAGTTCATAAGTAGTTTCCTAAGTGAAAGGAAAACTGGCGAAGGTCCTCTGGCTCAATTTATTGGTTCAGGGGTCTGTCATGGAAGCCACAATGGATTGAGTTGATGACACCTGAGGATTGCACATGGAGGCCTTTGGATGCCAGGCAGGTGAGACTAGATTTTATCCTGTGGGCCAGTCATTCTCACGGGAATACTACTACACCCCTTGGGAGTATTTTGGGAATTTGGGCAAATGCTTTTGTTTTCAGAGTGTTTGGGGGTTGCTACCGGTGTTCAGTGGGTGAGCACCAGAGATGCTAGCTGCCCCGGAATGTGCAGAACAGACTTGAGCAGTGAAGAACCGCCCCACGCCATGCACAGTGTGCAAACATCCTACTGGAAATGCAGGAGGGCAGAAGTCTGATTACAATGATCCAAGCTGGAACGTAACTATTTTACACACTAATGCAAAATCCTCGGTGCCCATTGTTAATAAATACTAAGTTTTCTGCTACCATGTAAGTCAAGGGGAAATGTTTTTCTTCAGAGCTTACCAAGGATTGTGCACCATTTAAAAAAAAATGTATCACTAATACCACACCATTTCTGTTACTTACATTAACTGTGATTCTAAGAGTATGTGTGGGAATCTTACAACTTCCTCAAGTCTTCTCATATGGACATGCTCGTGCATTTATGCAATGACATGCATGTCTTTATTTTAAACCAACTTATTTTTCTTCTTATATGCAAGGCCTTCTATTGCCTTCTACAAAATCACATATAGTTTATTATGAACAGTGGTCACTGGCTCCCGGTGGGAACTGCTGCTGCAGAGCAGAGGAAGCTGATCCGAGGCTTCGGCACGAGAGGGACATGATGAAGCAGTTGGAGGTGTGGATGTGCAGAGAGTAGGAAAACAAAAGGGGAAGGAAGATGGCAGCAGGCAGAGCCCAGAAAAGAGGCAGATGCAACCTGGGCAGGGAGTTAATGAAGACCTAGAAGACTGCGATGCCTGAAAGAATCAGAAAGAAGAACATTTGTATGGAAGACATCTTCAAAAGAGAAGTCGTTGAAACCCAGTGATTGAAGATAGTGTCACAGAGTGACTGTCACAGTGTTATTAGATTGCAGAAGGATTGGGTTCTTAAGAATAGTCTCACACATGTGCACACACATTTGCAAGCATGCGCACACACATACAACACACATACACCCACTTACACACTCTGAAATGCCAGATTCATTACCATATAATCCTTCTCCCCTCCTGCTGTCAAAGGGAAGACTTACTATACGACTGATTTCTGAAATCTGACAGCTCAACCTGACCCTAGCCTGAATCAAAGGGGCAAGGCCTTATTCGGATTATTTATTTGTTTGTGATTCTCCATCCAAGATAAACCTCGAGATAAATTTCGAGTGTGCTTTAAGAGCACTCTAGGCTATAAATCATACATTGCGTCTCATACTACAGTAAGCATAAAACCACATAGATCAACAATAGATAGATATGCCTCTCCTCCTTGACAAATTCGTGCACACACACCCGCACAAAGAGAGAATAAAAGGAAGCTAAGAATCTCAGAACCAATGACAATTTATCTGCAGGGTACATGTTTACTAATCAGAAGAAACCATAAAAATTAAAACTCTACAATATCAGACAGGACAAGAAAACCATGGTTCTAAACAACAGAAAAAGCATTTCAAAAGGAAGGGGTAAAAAAAAAATCATAGATAGTAACTCTAAGAGAATCAATACTGAAGAATATTGGGGAATAGAAGAGAATGGCCTGATTTATATTCAATTTTCAGTTAAGATTAACAGTATATTAATGATATGCTGAATTATCTGATTTTAGCTTCTATATCTATCCTCGATTTCAAATTTTCTGATAATAGATCATGTAAATATTTCTTTAAATAATGAAAGAATGAGTCAGAAATATCTCCGAACATAACAGGACTCTTTGGTTATCCTGATTCATGTCTATGCTTCTTCACCGTCGGTAAAACACAAGTATCACATTCTCGGTTGCTTTTCGTAACAACTGCAACGTGAGAAAAATGGCAGCCACTTCCTTCCCAATTCTAAGCAATCATTCCCCCACTCCACCAAAAAATGTCAGCTGCATTCCATCAAGGTGGGAAATGTCCCTAGAAACCTCACCATTAAATTCTCACATTGTTTAGTTCTTGTTTCTTTTCATGGGTTACTTACCATCTGAAATGTATTCTTTAGCACTTTCCTATTTGCAGTGTGTGACAACATTGCAAGACGAATCCCAAGGACTATGTCAACCGCCTGAAATGGGTATTGAGGCCTTGTCTAGACTGAGGTGCACCTCCCCCCATCTCTGCTGCCTGAGCTGGGGTTTGGCAAGAGGTAGAATATTTATATAGTGGGTATGTATTTTCTACAGTGCAGGAGGCTCCGTGACCCATAAATAAATAGAAAATGGCCTGAGGCTAAAAGGAGATGCTGCAGGTGAGGTGTTAGGTGGCTACTGCTTAAAGGCCATGTCTTCCGGCTTCCTTCTAACTAGGCACAAGGTCCAAGCTTCTTGTCATGGAAGCCTAGGACCCCACCCTCTGCCTGCTGATGTCATCTCACCTCTCACACTGCCCCTTTGTCCCCTTTTGTCCCCCTGTGGTCTTCGGACCATGCCCTCCTCTCTTAACACTCTGGGTCCTCATGCTCTCGTTCTTCCTGGAGCCCGCTTCTGTACAACTGTCCCCTGACTGGCATCTACTTATTGTTCAAGACTCAGCTTCAGTGTCACATACCGGGGCAGCTGTCCTTCCTCTCGGCTCTCACTGCAAACAGAGTGTATCTGCATCTAGGCACTGACTAGTGACCTTGAGGTTGTCTCTGTACTCATTTTTCTCCCCAAGTATGAGCTTCCTATGGGCAGGGACTGAGTCTTCTTGATGCTTGTATCTCTGGTACACAGCATAATAAGCACTCAGTGAACGTTTGATGCTTGCCCGACCGGAAAGCTCTTCCGTTTGGTCTAGAGGGCAAAAAGAGAGCTATTGACAATAAAAGCTGTTAAAACTATCATTGGTTTCTCCATCGACGGTAAGGAGGGGTTTGCAAGTCCGAGCTGGTATTAACCAGGGTCAGGGAGCTGGCTGTGCTGGAGAGGGAAGACACGAAGGACAGAGGATGACGTCAGGTCACGGTACCAAGTGTCATGAACTCTCCCTCTATGTGTCATGGCCACAGAATGCTCAAGGGAACTCCAGAGGGTCACTTCAGTGTACCCTATGTCCATGCAGCAGGGGAGCGGGATCAAGTGAGCGGAGTCAAGAAACTTCATAGCCAAAGGGCAGGGCCATTTTAGGGGAGGTGCCGACGAGACACAAGAAGTCCCTAGAGCCCGGGGCTTCTCAATCTGGATTGTCATTCTTCACCAGCTGTGTGCGAAGACACTGTCAAGCACATTTTCTTCAATAATCAGTTGAAACCCCTTGCTGGCATCTCTTGTCTTTTTTATCCCATAAGCCCCACAGGCAAAGGATTCAGGGCCTTTGTTGAAAGAACAGAAAGTCTCAAACTCACAAAGGCTTCCGATTTAGACTTTTAACATTATCTCTGAGCGAGAAGATGCAAACGGTCAGGTACTAGCAAAACTGAAAGAAGCAGACCCTTACGTCACTTTAATCTCGTGTCCTGTTACCAGATTGCAATTTCTGAAGTGTACTGCAAATGAGAACTTCTAATGAACTCTAGAATTATCGTGCACACAGCACAATTGTTTTGAATTTGTGTGCGTGTCAAGTAAGTTCATCTGGTAAATGTAAACGATATTTACAACTGTTTGGAGTGTCATCAGTTTTTAATATACTAGGAGCCATCTCTCTAGTTCTTCAACTTCAATAAGTTCTTGTAAGTACAGAATCATTTGTAGGATCAGTAGAGAATGGCATTGGCTCTATTTCATCAAAAGAAAAGATACAATTTACTTATTACTTACCAAATTAAGTTTTGCCCAGAACTCAGGTCCTTCTTCCATCTCCCTAAGGCTCGGTGGAATGTACCAAAAGCAAATATTGGCATATTCAGGCTGAGGATTAAGAAAACGTTAAAGTTGTTAACCTGAAATTAATCTTAGAATGCAATTAAAGTCTTAGCTGGTTTCTTTAAGAGTTATCACGTGTGTATTACATTGGTAACAAACCAGAATCTGATAGAGTAGACAACCAATCTGCCTTACTTCTGATAACACCCCATTGGGAAATTTTCATCTCAGTTGGGTGCACCTAGAGGGTGCTCTCTATAGGTAAGGGATACACAAGACCAAGAATAAACTTAAAGTTCGAAGCTGACTCAATCCAATTCTGACCATCAACACCTGATACACGTATGCCCAGAGATGCCCTGGTTCCTCACTCTTCAACCCTAATCTAACACCACTATACCCTTCCAATAATCCCTTCTCTACTTAAGGTAGCTAAAGTTGTCTTCTATTACCTGCTACACCTGACAAATGAAAAATCCCTAATTACCTGTGAGGAGACAACATATGACATACTCGAGTTTCACTTAAGCAGCTCTGCTGTGACCCTGGCCATCTGCTTTGGGGTGGGGAGGCATCACCTCAACTTCCAACTCTCAAATATCACTGTCAGTCTCAACTATGAGGAAGGACGTGCATCACCTAGGGGGCTTGCTCAAAATGAGATCGTAGTCCCTATGCCTAAGAGGCCCAGATTCTCATTAACTCCATCACAGAAAAGCTGAAGAAGTGATATTTTAAGAAGCATCTCAAGTGATTCTTTTGTTGTTGTTCTTCCTTTCTATTCTTTTTCTTTTTTTTTTTTAATTAATTAACTTATTTATTTTTGTTACAGATGTTCTCCCCCCCCCCCGACACCCTTCTCCCCACTCCCATCCTCTCCCCCTTCACAATACTGTTGTCTATGTCCACTGGTTATGTATATATAAGTAGAAATTCTTTGGTTTATCTTTTACTGCCCCACCCCCCACCCCCAGGTTTGTCAGTCTGATCCTTACTTCCATGTCCCTGGGTCTATTTTGTTCATCAGCTTATTTTATTTATTATAGTCCATAAATAAGTGAGATCATGTGATATTTGTCTTTCCCTGACTAGTTTATTTCACTTAGTATAATACTCTCCAGGTTCCTCCATGTCATCCAAAGGACAAGAGATCTCTCTTCCTTACAGGTGCATAGTGTTCGGTTGTGTATATTACCACAGCTTTTTTATCCACTCATCTACCGATGGACACTTGGGCTGTTTCCAGAGCTTGGCAATTGTAAATAGTGCTGCTATGAACATAGGGGTGATGTATTCTTTCTGATTGGTGTTGCAGGCTTCTTAGGATCTATTCCTAGAAGTGGGATCACTGGGTCAAACAGCAGTTGCATTTTTAATTTTTTGAGGAAACTCCATATTGTTTTCCATAGTGGCTGCACCAGTCTGCATTCCTACCAGCAGTGTACTAGAGTCCCCTTTTCTCCACACCCTCGCCATCACTTGTTTGATGATTTGTTGATGGCAGCCAATCTGATACCTCAGAGTAATTTTAATTTGCATCTCTGATGATTAGTGATGCTGAGCATTTCTTCATGTCTCTTGGCCATTGGTATGTCCTGTTTGGAGAGGTGTCTATGTAGGTCCTCTGCCCATTCTATAATTGGATTCTTTGTCTTCCTTTTGTTGAGTTGTATGAGTACTCTATATATTTTAGACTAACTCTGGGTTTTTCTTTTTGTTTTCTTTCTAACTCTTTAAGTTGCAGGGTTAGATCGCTTATTAGAATGTTTCTTGCTTCTTGAGGTGGCCTGCAGTGCTCTGAGCTTCCCCCTCAGGACTGCTTTTTCTTTGTCCCATAGATTTTCTGTTGCTAGGTGTTCGTTTTCATTAGTTTCCAAGAAGTTTCAAGTGATTCTTTTTTTTTCTTTTCTTTTCTTTTCTTTTTTTTTTTTTTGGTACATGCCCCTAGTAGGAACCGAACCTGGTACTCTCTGGTCCACAGGCCAGGGCTCAAGTGATTCTTAAGTGCGGAGTGCAGGATCTTCATTTGAGAAACTAATCTAAAGTGGTAATAGCCCAGTCCTCCTCCCCAGCAATCTTTCAGACATGATTGGGTTAAACATGGGATAACATTCCAGAATAGGCTTTAGTCCAGCCAATGTCATAAAGATAAGGAGTCTTTCCCACCACATCCGTCATCCTCATTGGACACAAACACAGGGGTACTCACTGACCAGATGATTTGGGACACTATGTTGAGGGTTACAAGTTGAAAGGGTTAGTGACATTTTATTTATTTATTTATTCATTCATTCATTTATTTTTTATCCTCACCCGAGGACATTTTTCCATTTTTTGTTCAGACAGAGTGGAAGGGAGAGAGAGAAACTTCGACGTGAAAGGGACACATCGAGTGGCTGCCTCCCACATGAGGAGGGGCCGGGGACAAACTGCAACCAAGGTACGTACCCTTAGCGGGAACTGATCCCAGGTCTCTCTGGACCACAGGCCAATGCTCTAACCACTGAGCCAAACTGGCCAGGGTGGTTAGTGACATTTTAAAGTGTAAAGGTAAAAGCTTGCAAAGACAGAAACTGTGAAAAATGTGTTGCTTGCATGACCTTTGCTCAACCTTCTGTGAAGTGAGGATTATTGGGTTGTCCGCAAGGCAATGAATCGCCCAGCAGATGCGGGATGAGATACCAGACCAGTCCAACTGCAAAGTGGACAATGGGCCATGCAGGGTACATCAGCAAGAACTGCCGGAAGCTAAAAGTAGAGTATATAATCGACACCCCAACTGTTATTCGGGGCTGAACCCTTTTCAGCCCAGCCCGCCTGCACCCAGGCGCATGCAATAAAGCCATTTTGCCCTACATTGGCCTTGTGTTGTGGATGTGACCTCCTGCCGCTCAGACCTTTCACAAATCACACACACAGAGCCGTATTCAGTAAAGGCTATACGGTTCTAGTCAAGATGGCAGCATAGGTCAACACAGTATTCGAATCCTTCCACAACCACATCAAAACTACCATGAAACTATGGTAAACCATTATTGAGAACCGCCTGAAATCTAGCTGAACAGAAGTCCCACAACTAAGGATACAAAGAAGAAGCCCATGGAGACTGGCAAGAGGGGTGCAGACGCGGAACTGGCTGGTCTCAGGCTCACAGGTGGTAAAGAAACATCAGGAGGGATAGGTTGGCCGTGGAGTTCCCCCATGAGGATCAAGGGGTCCCAGCTTTACACCAAACCCCTCAGCCCCCAGTTTCAGTGTCAAGAAAAGAAGTCTCCATAACTTCCGGCTGTGAAAACCAGGGGGATTTGGCTGAGTGAGATGGGGGAACCTCAGGAAGATGAGCCTCCAGGACTACCAGAACCACCCCCCGCTGGGAAGAACTGCAGGCTCTACTGGCCATTCTATACAGTTGTGAGGACCTGAGCTAGGAGAAGAAAGGCCTCATTCTTTCCAAAACAGGCCATTTGGCTTGGGGTGCAGATCCAGAGTGACGGTTAAGGTCCGTGATCCTGGAATACACGTCAGGTGCTGGAGTAAGGCCAAAGAAGAAAGAAGTAGCCATCACATGGAAACCCAAGGGGTTTTCTCATCCCTGTTCTGCGTGCAGCTCTTTATTGCCTCGATGATTATTGCCACGCCCCACAGGGCCTCTGGAAGTACTATAAGCACCAAACAGTAGATGACCTCCCCAAAGTCTGAATAACAACAGAAAAAATTATCACGACAAACATGACCTCTTCACTGCTATTACCATCCACCATGCTGCCTGGGCATCTCCAGAACTATAAACAAAACAAGACAAGGAGAAGAGCTTAAGAACTCCTCCCCGCCCTGGCCGGTTTGGCTCAGTGGTTGGAGCATCAGCCTGTGGACCAGAGAGTCCCGGGTTTGGTTCCCGCTAGGGGCACATACTCCACCCCCCCCCCAAAAGAAGAACTCCTCCCCATGTTGGTTGTTGTCCTGGAGTTCAAGAGACAAACCTGTGATTAGGTAGGTGTGCATAGTAGGAGCAGATGCTATAGGTCTTAACATGTGAGTCCAGAGCCATGAATTGTCATTCTAGCTCACAGTGCTGGAACAGACCATCAAACATAACTTTAAACTCTGCCTACGAATAACTGATTTAAAGGTGGACTCTGTAAATCTTTGAAATTTTTGTATCAGATTTTTCCTTGGAGCAATGAAAATATATAGACCATGGAAGGTAAAACTACAACAGAAACTCTGAGCAATTAGTAGTAAGAAAGTTGTCTGAATTTCGCTTTTCTCATTATCCTAGCATTTTTATGTATGCAGACATGTTCATTATCCATAGTTTTAGTAGTGTTTTTAGAAGAAATTGTAAGTTGTCTTTGAGCTTCCTGGTGGTCCTTTTCTATACGTGTCTCTTCCTTTTGTTTGAACCTTGGAAAACTGCCTCTCGGGTTTTTAAGCAGAATGTGACTCTGCATTTGTAAAACAAAAACATATTTAAAAGCTCAAAGGGGAAAAAAAAAAAAGATTTTAAGTCAAGCCCACCAACTCAGCACCTCCTCATCTGACTCTTAGCACTGACTATTTGAAATGACTTCCATTTTTCCACCACAATCACAGTTTGTAGGTGATAACCAATGTTATAATAGTTATCAATAACCATCAGAAAGTTATGCTCCAGTGTCAGAATCAAGCTTTAAAGTATTTCAGAAAGAGGAAACAGCTCTCATCTCATATCTTAAAATCAAGACTGGCACTGTATAGAGTTCTGATTTCAGATCACGAGTGAATGCCCAAAAATATTTCCAGCTCAAGAAGATAAATTCTTGATCTGTTCATCCTTTCACCTTTGAAATACATAACATGCTTATTGAATTTGACCAAAAAAAAAAAAAAATTTACAAATCTTCAAGATACAGAGTAGTTCAAACTACTATGCAATTCAACTCAATTTCTGCAAATACTGATCATCAAACTACAATAGACTTCACAAATCTACACAACTTATACTTGGATTTCTAATTTATAACTGATTCGGTTTCTCTGGGATAGAATGTACTGGCCTGCAAAAT